ATAACCGGTTGCCACTAAGCCTGAGTGCTATAAAAAAAAACAATAAATAAAAGTTAAATTCTCATTTTAGTCTCTTTACTTGGTAAAAAGTTCTTTTTTGGTCCTTCTACTTAAAATAGTCCCTTTTTGATCCCTAAATTTTGAAATTTGACATCCTATTTAAGCCCTTCATTAAGTTTTACATATGTGACATGTTAGATAATAGAAATTTTAAAGTAGAGGATCAAATTGGGTTTTAACCTATATAAACGCATGAATCAGAAATAGTCAACAAAGGAATTAAAACTTGTTTAGCAAAACTTATTTTTTGTGCCACATTATATATACACTTTGTTGAGAGTATAAGGTGGCATTAAATTTAGGGTTTAAGTTTTGTTAACATAATTTATTTATTTTATTAAAAATTTAGTTAAATTGTATTTACTAACTTAAAATTCTTAATTTGATTGCGGTTAATAATTTATATTTGTGTAATGTTAAGCAATTAATATCATATGTATTATAATTTCTTAAATTTTGTAATTTTTTTTTAAAAGTATGGTAGTTGGAAAATACAAAACTCTCAAATTCACTCCTTAAAAAGATAAGTAGGAATAGATCAATCTTTAAAAATATATATATAAAGATATATTGTCATTCTAAATTATAAATCAAGATAAAAAAATTATTTTTTAACAGATTTTATTTTATTTTTTGTTAAAAAATACTTGGCAAATAAAATTTGTTAAAAAAATTAATAATTTATCTTTATATTTTTTTAAAAATAAATTTATCCCCACCTAAAAAAAAATTATCCCTACCTACCGTTTAGAGAGATGAATTTGAGAGTTTAGCGATGAATTTGAGAGTTTTGCCGTTGAAAAACAAATCTCAATTGTATGTGGAGAAGAAAATGGCCCATAAACCTTCTGTAATCATTTTGTACAACTTTTGCTAGGGTCTAAAAAAACTTTTGCATTACCCAATTAGAATAAAGTAGGTATTATAATAATTGTTAGTCATGTATTTTAGGATAAAACGTCTAAATCAACAGTCTAGGAAGTGTTAAATTTGTAGCTCAATAGGGTTTAACTACCCTTGGTACCTACACATAAATTTTCTCAAGCCTATTTCTTTTTTTAAAAAAAAAAGCCAGCTTGTCGTTCAATGGTTGGCCCAAACCTTAGAGTTTGGGTATGCGGAAGGCAGAGTTTCGAACTCTACTAAGGTTTGGGTGAGGCGAAGGGTAGAGTTTCGAACTCTACTACCGTCGTGAACTCCATCAACTTGTGATTTAATGGTCGGCACACCTCTTCTAACGGGATAGATTGTTCATAATTCTGGGAAATCCCCATTGCTAATAACTAATTCTACTAACTTCCTAACCATTATCCTTGTTACAAAAAAAAAAAAAAAATTCTCAAGCCAAACAAGACAACTACGTTTGACCTTTTAGACTTTTGTTGGGCTAAGAATCCTCTCGAAAGATTGAGTAGGGTCTTGGGAAGGGAAGTGAAGGAGACAGGACACTAATATGGAATTAAAATGATTTATTAATGTAACTTTAGTAGATTGGAATCCGATAAACCGATCAGCACGAACCTAATGAAAAATATGTCTGAAAAAGAATGTTCATTTTAAAAAATATAAAAAAAGTTCACTTTTAAAAAAAGTATCTATATGATGTTTTACGGTTCATTTAATCAAGTGGATTCATTTATTATAATCTACAGTCTCTTTATAAAAAAAAAAAAATCATAACTTATAGATATATATATATATATATATTTGCATTTGGAACTATTTATTATTGGTTGATTATTCCTTTAATCTCCACCTATCTGTGTTTGGTTTAGTTCCGAGCAATTCAGACTTGAGAGAGTATATTTAATAGTTAATAGTATTTGAATTATAAATAATAATAAATATTAATCATTAAATATTTACTATTAAATATAAACTGTTCAAAATAGGTAAACCAAAATAGAATTTATATTACTTACCATTATTATTTTCAAGTGAGTATAGAAACTTGTGATGAGTGTTCAATAAAAAATAATTGAAGATGAGCCTACTCATTGGTGTGGAATTTTTCACTACAACGTTATTTCCCAATGAATTCTTTCAATACGTTAGAGACGTGTGTGTATAAGTTTTCTCAATACGTACGAGAGGTGTTAAATAACAGGATGTATAATAATTTATGCGTCTCACTAAATATTAACCACAATAGTTTTTTTTTTAATAATATTAAGGTGTGAACACAATAATTTAGATCATATTTCATTTATTGTAAATATTTTATATCTTAAAATATTTTTTTTTATATTTTATATCTTAAAATACTCTCTTTGTGAACACATGTATAAGTCATTGTACATACAGTATTATTCAAGAAAGCAATAAACTTTTCTTCAAATATTTTCTATTTCTAACATGGTATTAGAGGTATAAGCTCTTTTTTTTTTCTTCTTTGTCATTGCCTGGTACTGAGTTGGATTTTCAGATCTATTTCGAATCTGAAATTTTGTCGTTGAGTTTTCTTCTTTTGCATATTGGATTGTTTATTTTCAATTCTCAAGCCCTTTCTGAGGTATTTTGTTGAGTTGTAATCTTGATCTTAGCATCTATTTCTTCATTTTTTTTAAAAATGTTTTTCAATATTGTGAGTTCTACTGATTCTATGACAAGTTTTGAAAGAATTGTGACCTGCTACTGCAATGGTTGCCAAAGAGGTGATAGACCAACTTATTGTCAACCCTAAATCTATAAAACAGGTGATATTAAATCTTTTTAATGCTCCTATTGCCTTATCTGCTGCTCTAGGCACTAAACCTTAGTATTTTGATTCAGGTTGTTGTAATCACATGTCTACAACTATTGATCATTTCTCTTCAATGCCACCAAATAATTCCTTTCTTGACATTTATTTGTGCTGAATTAGAGTCTTTGCAAATTCCATATCAACAAATCTTCCAAGCTTATGCTGCTACTAATATTTCTTCTCTTCATTTATGGCACTCACAGGTCGGACACACCTCAGTCGATAAACTCCATCCTCTTATCTCTTGTGGTTATTAGGATTTGTTCCAAATGAATCCTTGCATTGTGTATTATGTCAACCTACAAAACAACCAGCTTTATCTTTTACAATTAGTCATTCTCATTCTGCTGCTTCTTTTGATCTCATGCATTTTGATATATGGGGTCCATCTCTGACACCTACCATAGGGGGTTCTAGATACTTTGTGTTATTTATTGATGATCATATTCATTTTATTTGGATATATCTTATGAAAAATCACTTTGAGTTATCACAAATTTATATTGATTTTGCTACCATGGTCAAAACTCAATTCTATAAAGTTATCAATGTTTTGAGAGTTGACAATGCCACTGAATATCTTAGTACTAAACTTCAATTCTTTTTTAAATAATAGAGTACACTGACACAACAATTTTATCCTTACACTTCTGAACAAAATAGGCGAGTCGAATGTAAACACAGACACATCCTTGATTCTGGTTTTGTTCTGCTCATTTTGTCTTCTTGTCCAAAGCGATTTTGGGGTGAAGCTGCTTTTACAGCTAGTTATCTCATTAATCGGATTCCATCATCAGTCATTAATAATATGTCTCCATACGAATGTTTGCATGGTATTCCTCCTGCCTATAATCTTTTTAAGGTTTTTGGTTGTGTTTGTTTTGTTCTTCTTCCACCTCATGGACATAACAAGCTAGAGCCTAAAGCTCGATTATGTTGTTTTTTGGGTTATAAGATTACACATAAAGGATATCGTTGTTGGGATCCTGTGTCACAACAACTGAGAGTCTCATGTCATGTTATCTTTTGGGAATACACTATGTTTTCCTCATTATCAAACTTCTAGATGTCATTTTTTGATCAACCTCCACTTTTTACTAACCCTTCTATTAAGCTATTTCCTAATGCCTCTCCACATGCTCCATTTGGTTCTATAGAAGATGCTTTGCCTATTGGTAATGCATTAGACAATGTTGAGTCTTCTTCCTTTACCTTTTATCTATCACTTGTTGGATCTAACCTTGTTGATATTGAGCTTAAAAATGGGATCCTTAATCCGCCTTCAAATCATCCTACTCGAATAAGAAATTCTTCTAACTATCTTTGTGATTATCATTGTTTTCCTGTTATTACCTTCTTACATGAGCCTCAATCCTACCAAGAGATCTCTTCTAACCCTCTTTGGCAACAAGTTATGCAAGATGTATTACGAGCTCTTGAGAAAACTTGTACATGGGATTTAGTTGATTTTCTTGCTGGACAGCCTTCAGTAGGTTGTAAATGGGTGTACAAGATCAGAACTCAGTCTGATGGTTCCGTGGAGTGTTACAAGGCTCATTTGGTTGCTAAAGGATTTACTTAGAAATATGGGATTGATTATGAGGAAACCTTTGCACTTGTTACTTGTCCTAGTTCAGTTCATAATTTGATTGCTATTGCTGCTGCAAAAGGATGGAGGTTGTTTCAAATGGATGTGAAAAATGCCTTTCTAAATGGTGATCTTGTAGAGGAAGTTTACATGAAACCACCTCTTGGATTTGAACATCATCTAAACAAAGTTTGTCAATTGGAGCGAGCTTTGTATGGTTTATAATAATAATAATAATAATAATGTATATTTTTTAACTTGGTCGCACAATAAGAGGCAACCATCTTCCATCCCTTATCACATCTCACCTATATGTTATGCAATTCGAATTTATAATCTC